GCTGTAGAGACTCCGGTGCCTGCCATCTCAGCTCTTCCTGCAGAGCCTCTCCAGGAGCGATTCTGCCTTCTCTGCGCCTGGAGCAGGCGCTGTTGGCTGTGAGCTCCATAACCGACCTAGCACTGAGCAGACACATCCCAAGTTCAGAAAACCTCAGGGGAAAGAAGGCCTTCTCTCTCAGGTGCCCCTTAAGATGTTTCCAGCTCCCTCCCAATTACCAATATCTACAGTGCCTCTCTGAGAAAACAGTGGATGGCATTTGCTTACCTCTCGCAGCATTGTTGGTAAGTCTTTGGTGGGCTCCCGAGCCCCGTAGCATGAGAGCAGGCTCGAAGCCACTGCGTGTGTCTTTGCTCCTCAGCTCTTCAGATTCTGTCCTGCGCTTTATTCCTGGATGCCAATACTAACAACTTCTCACTTTTCTTCCTCCTGGAAGGCTTTTCTTTCTTTCCCTTCCTCAAGGGTACCTGGAAAAGTTTATTCCTGTGAAGGCCTTCTCTACTGGAGCTCTCTCCACTCTGATGGACTGACTCGTTGAGCCTGAAAGTTCCCAGTCCAGGGATTTCATGTCCGTGGGTCCAGCAAGGGTTGTTGGGATTTTGGTCTCGCGCCAATCTCTGAGATGAGTGGACAATAAAGGGCTTAAATAAGAGACAAGTGGTAAGATTGTTATGGCCCAGGCAGGTCAAAATCCTCTAAAACAATTTGTGATTCCCTGGGAATTGAGACAGAAAACTTCCCCAGAAAGCTTGGTTATCAGACAATGGCAGGGGACACTGAGCCAAGCTTGGGAACCAACCAGGACTTTGAGAGTCAGCACAAAGACTGTTCCACATACTAAGATTGGCAGTTAGGGGGACAGCCTTATCTCTAAGGGTGGCAGCTTCATCACCCTGGAATAGGGGGTGTCCTCAGTCCTTGTTCTTGGTGGTCTCAGCTGTGGTGATCCTGACCTCAGAGCACCACACCTCCGCTCGTTTGCAGAACAGCCACAGGTCCCTGTGTTCAGCAACAACCCTGTAGAGCCCGCTCTCCAGCAACTATTGATATGGATTGGCTGCTGGGGCTACTTTGGGTGAGCTAATAAGGAACTTTTTCAGGGGACAAGTAACCTAAAGAGAAGTAACCTGCTTCAAGAGGGGACTTAGATGGGGCAGCACAGCTACACAGAAGAGGGTGTCCAGGCCACGCGCCAGCTCTGCTGCGCACTGCTTGCTCACGCCCAGAGGCTCCTTTCTTTCTACCTCTTACCTGGGCCAGGTTATCCCAATCTAATCCTATGGACCCTAAGTGCCTTATTATTTTTTTCTTTTTTGAGTCAGGATTTCACTAGATACCAGGCTGGTGTCCCTGCTGCCTCAGCTTCCCCAGGGCTGGGATGACAGGCCTGGACCACCACAGCCTCCTGGCTAGGAGCCCAGCTGTTTTACCTCCTCCAGCAAGGTTGTAATGCTCTCTATTCAGGATTAACCAGAAAGCCCAAGAGGGCCTAGTCTGCCTACATTTCTCTTACCTGCGGCCAGCCACCTCCACCCACCCCACACTGGGGACTGGGCCCCAGAGCCCTGGCGTGCTAGACAAGCTCTGTGCCACTGAACGCTACCCCAACTCCCTCACCAGCCTCACAGATTCTTTCTCCATCCATCCTTCTCAAAGTCATGCTCTAGAGAACCTGGGAATAAACTGTCTTCCTTTAGCGCGCCACTGTGGTCCATGAATGCTGGGAGCTCCGGCAACCCCACCCCTACCTCGTGCCTGGGCTGTCTGTGTCCTGCCGCCATGAGCGGTGCCAGCAGGCAGTCGGTGAGTCAAGCCCACCTCTGTCTCTCGCTTTCTGCAGTTCCACACCACCAGGCTCCACGCAAGCTCCACGCAAGCTCCAGGAAACCGTCCGAGGGAGGAGAAAGCAAAGCATGGCTAGCTATGCAGTTCTCATGTTCGTCTCTAGGTGGCAGTCTTGTCCCCGGACTGCGTTTTTCCCACTAGGCCGCTTGTACTAGCAAGTGAAGAACTCACTAGATTTGTGGTTACTCTATTTCTGTAGAAACTAAACCTTACATTCATTTGTAGGTAAATAGTTGTCTACGTTTTCTAAGACAGGGTCTTACTTTGAGGTTCAGGCTGTCCTTGAACTCACTATGTAGCCCCCGCCGGCCTCCACCTTGGCATGATCCCTCTGCCTCAGCCTGCAAAGTGCTGGGATAACAGGCATGCACCCTCCCAAAGAGCAAAACCCGTGTCCTTTGCTTCTCCTAAGAGCAGTTCTCCCGACTGCGTTGGGGGTACTTCCTAGAGAGCTGGCGGCTGGGGGTCAATGAAGGTGCTGGGTAGGTGTGAACTGTTTAGCATACAGTAGTACGTTGGTGCACGAATGCTTTGGACAGTAACAATCTAGTTCACAAACACAAGCATCGGCCAAAGTGCGTTTTGTTTGCACCCCGCAGCACGTGAGCACCAGGACTGAGGCGTCTTTCTCTCGCACGAGGGCCGTGGCTCTCATTTCCAGAATGGGGCAACGAATTCAATTCATGACCCAGGTACCACTTATGCATTTTATCACAGTTTAAATCTTTTTTAAAACTAGAGCAGACCTGGGTGTGGTGGCGCAAGCATGCATTCCGTACCTCGGGGAGGCTGAGAGAAAGGATGAGGGGTGTAAGTCCACCGTTGGCAAGTTGGTGACTCTGGCAGCCCCCGTCTCAAAGATTAAAATAAGGGAAGGGGCTATGGCTCAGCACAGAAAAACTACGTTGCGCTACCAACAGCACACCTACATGCAAATAGAAGTGCAAAGTCTTGATTGACTTGAGAATTACTACAAAGAGCATATAAAAGATGGCAGCATACAATGACACTAGCGCT